CCACCCTCGTGACGTCATGTCCTTCGAGTCACAATTTATTTATCTATATATTTATCTTCTTGTTTATCTATTTGTTTATCTATTTGTTTATATCCCCTTCACCTACTATCTTATCTACCCCCCCCCGGCTCAGTTCAAAGGATCGCCGCCTCGGACTTCCCCCTCCCCTCTTCCCCGCGCCCTCCGTTCCCCCCGCACACCCGCACCCCCTCAACGCTTCTGAGTTAGAACCGGCCTAGTATACCTACTAACATTTCTGGAAACGCTGGAGCAAGGAACATATTTTCGTACTACAACACGCGCAAAGGGCTTCAATCCTGTCAAGGAAGGTGCAATAGTCATGATTAAAGAAGAATATTCCTCCTCTTAAATGGAAGCTTGTACGAATAATTTCCATTCACCCAGGCAAGGACGATATAATAAGAGTTGTTACACAGTAAAAACAACGGGATGCACAAAAATTGCAGCGGCGAAGCTATGTCCGTTACCATCTGAAGAATGTAAATAACTAAAGAAGATTGTTTGCGTACTGTTTAACATGTCAGGTCGATTATCATAATTAGATAAAACATATTCATTTAACATTATAGACATTAACATTAAACATATAAGATATTCAATGTACAATTCAAAACAATTCTCTTGCTAATTTACGTTTATACTTAAATTCAAGATTCTTAATAGTTGTTTAATTTGTTTTTCAACAATTATTACGTCCTTATTAGTAATATATAATTAAGTTTATTGAAAATGTCTTTCAATGTCGGGGAGTATGTAGTAAATTTAAATTTGGCGCAATCGATAACTAGCGTAGTAACATCACTTAGCTATTATTCGGGACTTCCCGGCGGCTCTCGGAAGAGGAAAGACAAGATGGCGAAACATCTCTCGCGACATACGAAACGTATTTGTATTAAGAGCAATAAAACTTAGTGAAATCCAGTCATTATAGTCTATTTTTCATTAATATCCAACACTGAGGATGACTCAAACTAGAGTCGAACCGTATGTTATATATTTTTAAATTGTAATAAAGAATTGCGCACCATAAATAACGCTGATTCTCGTTGCCCTTTTACTACATCGTATCAAATACCGAGAATCTTCTCATTAATATATATAATTAGATATAAACTTTTTTTCCCGGCTTATGTGTTCGTAAAGTGTGCATATTCGTATATATGTATGTACGTATAAATCGTACAATATCAACTAAACTCGTAATATCTCGAAAATGTCTCTCGTTTAGATGTTATTATTTACAGTTTGATGCATCTAGTTTGATGCATCATAATATATTATGTATAAATTTTTATATAATTTAATATCTTTCTATTTGAAAAAGAAATATAGTTTTGTATAATTCAATATGAAGTTGTAAGCATTTTGATATAATCATTTCAGATAAAGTTTTTAATCGAAAAAAATTTTAATATAATTTTGTATAATTTGATATGAATTATAAATATTTTAATATATATATCTAATATGATATAATTATAC